AGAACCTACAACTGCCTCTTTATTAAACCAGAATAATCCATAACTACGTCCTAAATGTTTGTCCTTGTAGTCACAGGTATACCACAGATAATCCTCAGCCCCGCATCAAGGAACCATCTCTGCAATAGATGAGAATATTACAGAAGGTAGGCCTGAGCATGACATGTCTGCTATGGCAGGCTGTGCCCTTTTCCCATTTCCTCTGCCTTTCTAAACCAGAGATTACATTCCTAAAGCTGGCCACCAAAGTATTTTCTGTTACTGGCCACTTCTTCTTCCTGAAGCTGACTACCAAGGTCAAACTATCAAATTATTGAAGTCCAGTAATCAAAAGCTCCCTTCTGGCTACCCCAATTAACACATCCAATAAAAATCAACCAACTAATCCTAACACAAGGTTTCCCCTTTCCTTTTATAAGCTCCCATTTGCCTATGGGCCACATCTGTCTCCTCTCCATCTAGAAGCACTCATGTGTCCCTTTGGGGCAAATTACCCTTCCCTTTTCCCCAGCTCCTTTTCTCTTCTCCCTTGTTCTCTCTCTCCTGTCTTTCTCCTCTTATTCACTGTCCTTTGTCCCCTTGGGGCAATTAAATGTCCTTTGTGCTGAAAACTTGGTTTTAATATGTCTTGTCCTGATTCTTGTCCTTTTAGTTAAAACCAATCAGCAGAGCTGTGGAACCTAGTTCCCAAATAACATGTCTACCAAACAGTTCTGTACCTAAGATGTGGCAATCATTATGGGAGAGGGAATGGAAAGATTTTAAAAGCCAGAGGAACAAGTAGTCTGCTGTGAGATTGTGTTTCCTCGAAATGTCAGAACCTATACCCTGAAAGTCTCAGCAACATGAGACGTACCATATCCTGAACAGTGACACAACCAACAGACATGTTTTAGCTTAAGGAATAAATAAATTCATAAATAGATAGATAGATAGATAAATAAATAAATAAATAAATAAATAAATAAATAAAATGTCATGGTGGGAGTTCCCTCCATGTATGGGCATGTGTAGCACATGGATGCAATGTGTAGAGAGGCCCAAAGAGAGGCCTTTAGAGAGGGTGTCAAATCCTTGGGACTTGAGTTACAAATGGTTGAGAGCTGCCATGTGGGTGCTGAAGATGAGAATTGAACAAGGGTCTTCTGGAACCAGTAGTTACTGCCCCCAAACACCCTTTTATACTAACTTGTAATTTTACATTAGCTTTGAAGTTTTAGTTTTGAAAACCGATCAAAATATCCAAGTGGGGAAATGAAGTCTCCTAATATTGCTGTGGCAATATCTATGTGGCCTTTTATGCTTCTCGATGTTTATTTCATAAAACTTGTGCATGAATGTTTACAAATGTTATATTTTCTTGGACTATTTTCCTTTATAAATAGGAAGTGCCTCTTCTTGTCTCTATTGATTAGTTTTGGTTTGAAGTCTCCTGTTAGAGGATAGCTTTGTCTGCTTGTTTACAGTTTGTTTGCTTTGCAATTTGATTCCACCCTTTGATACTTTTTTTTTTTTTATGTCTTTGCTAGTGTGTTTAATCAAGATAACAAATAGCTGGTTCTTGAATTTTCACCCAGGTAATTTTGCATCTTTTTCATTGGCCAGTAGGTGCCACTTATGTTAAAGATTATTCTTGAAAGGAGCCTGAGAACATCCAAGAATTTGTTAGGTGATGTTCTGGTTTACTCTAGTATTGGAATTTCTTTTCTTTCTTCCCTTGGTTTTGAGGGTTTACCGATTTGCTGTGTTAGACATAATTGATTCATTCCTGGCTTTTTCATTTGTTCATTCCTTTCCCATAGTGTATGTACCCTAGACGCTGTGTTTTTCCTTCTCCCAGCAGAGAATTCCTTTCTGAATTTTCTACATTGGCTCGGTTGTTATGTAGTATTGTCTGACTTAGTGTTCGTTTTGAAATAAACTTATCTGTACATCTGTTTTGAAAGATAACATTGCTGGGCATAACATTCTTGCTTCATACTTTCAGAGCTTGAAACATTACTGTTTTACATCTGGCTTTTATGATTGCTGATGAAAAGCCTGAAGCTATTATTACTGATTCCTAGCTTTGTATATTAGCTGTATTTTGTTTTCTATTACATGTTAGTATTAGTTCATTTTTGACATCTTGACTATGTTGTCATGGAGAGTTACTTCTCTTCTAATATCTATTTGAGGTGCAAATGCCTGTTGACGTTGGATGTCTACTTCATTCTCTAGGTTTAGGGATGTTTCTGCTATAATGTCATTTAACAGCATATTCCCTTTGATTTCAATTTCTATTCTTTCTTCTGTGACATAAACTTTTGCATGTAGACTCTTGAATGTGTCCCAAACTTCTTGGAAATGCTTCTCATGTTCTTAAACTTTTCCTCTATGCATTCCTGATTATATTATTGTTTCCCATGCCTAAAATTCATTCTTCTGCATGGTATTGTCTGTTGATACTTTCTGATGCTTTTATTTATTGACCATTTCTTTCCATTATTTCAGTTTGGTTCTTGTTGAAACATTTATTTTTTAATTTTACCCACCATGTTTTAGATTTTCTTCTTCAATTACTGTTTAAAATTCACTTTGAAGATTATGCTGTCATGGTCTTATATAGATTTTCCTAGTTTGTACAACTATTGATTCTTCAGTATGCCATTACTTCTTTTAGAAAGTCAGACTCTGAATTCTGCCTCAGACATTTCAGCTACCTCTGTGATTTTGGATTTCATTATAGGGGAAATAGGAGCTTTGGGATGGATTGCAGCTAGCAGTTTATATAATTTTTTTGTTGTTGTGCTTTATGAACCTGTTAGACTGGATTTGTCATCCAGTTTTAATATACCCTTCTTCCAAATCTACTTGTTTGTATTCTGGGCATCTTACTGAGACAGTCATGTGCAAGAAGTTCAGAAATGGAGCCTGGTGAAGAGTGGAGCTGATTTCCTGGTAGGCTAGCTGAGATGATCTGGTATTGGCTGGGTGATGGCAGGGCAATTCCTAGGGCTACACGTTGATCACTAGGAAATGTAGATGTCAAAACTCTAGCCAACATATTTTTCTCTTATGGGGCAGGGGTGGGGGAAGAATGCTTACTTCCATCCAAGTACTAACCAGGCCCAACCCTGCTTAGCCTCTGAGACCAGAGAAGAGCACTTGGCTTGCTCAGCGTGGTGATAAGGATGCAGAAGTGCAGCTCTTCACAACTGATGGCTTCTGGCCAAGAAGCGGGTGGGTCACTGCGAGTTTGACCATGTTCCAGTGAATATATGGGCAACATAAATTAGAATCATGTTTTCTTTTTTCATTTATTTTTTGGGGAAGGACACAAAGGTTGTGGCAGACCTGGGAGGACTGGGAAGTGAGTGTGATTAGGCTGTATGATGTAAACTTTCCAAATACTCAATAAAAATATTATGTTGGAAGCAAACAAATTAACAAAAGCTAAAAACCAAAACTCTAGCCCAACCATGGATTCTGGCATTTCAAGAGTGAAAACTCTGCTGTGAACTCTAAGCACCACTGGAGATAAAGCTCTGGTCCCTCTAATGAACTATGGAACTGACACTGAAATTGATGTTACAATGATCCCTAGATTCACACACATAAAAACAAACCCTTTAAAAAATAAAGGTAAGTTAGACACTATTTCTATTAAATGCAAATTATTATTCAACAGTTACAACTAAAAGGAATACTATCTTAACAAGCCTGGTGTTGTGGCTCATGGCTGCAATTCCAAGAGTTAGGAGGCTGAGGACAGAGAATTCCTGTGAGTTTGAGAACATCTTACACTACACAGTAACACTGTCTCAACAAAACAAAATAAATACAACAGACAAAACCCTCAAGAGAAACCTCAAAACACAGTATTAGCACAAAGCATTCAATTTTAGGATACCACATTCAAATCAAAGTTAAAGGTAAGTAAAATACTTTCCAAATTGTTAAAATTTACATTTCTGTACTGTTTAGGAAACCCAGCACTTCTCTCCTTTATCACATTTACAGGAACTAAAAGTTACTGCAATTGTTGGCTGTGGTAAAATGCTTATACTCTGGGCCTTGCACAAATTTACACTACTAAGGGGAGTTATGTTCACTGCAGGACATGTACTTTTTTCCATTGATTATTACAGACGATACTTTAAGAGTGAAAAATTGTGAAACATAAATTACAATTTCCACCTGTTATCTAACAAGCTGACACACTGAGGAGAAGTGGCTTTTGGTGTTTTAATGTAGTGCAGATTGACGCTGAGGCCCTACCCGCAACTAGCATGTTCTCCGTTCCAAGCCACCTCCCCCGCCCAAACCTCAAATCTATGCTCCACTGACTGCCTACTGAGGAGCATCCCCGCTGCACTGAACTCACCCGAGTGTGGGAAATGGACAGGAGCTCTAGAGCACTGGTACTTCTCCTACAATCTGAAAATTTCTACTGACCTTGTGCTTTTCTGGAGTTGTGAGCAATGCAACTTGCTCAATAGGTTGTGTGTGTGTACATGTGGTCAGCGTTTAAAACCTTCTGCCCCACGCTCTGTTCCATCCTAGGAAATAAATGAAGGATTCTAAGCAGAAGCAGAAGATGTCTATGATCGGTCAGCCATCCTTCCCTAGACACAAAGATGCTCAAGGGAAGCTTGACTTCACACACACTCACACACACTAAATTCCAAGAAAGCCCAGGACTATGATCACTTCTATGCCTGTTGTTTCCCAGCATATGCTACATAGTAAAATAAAATTGTTGGAGTGAAAGCCTTTCATGAAAAAGCTAACACCACCTTGAAGGAACAGATACACTTCACTATAAACTATTACCACATTTCCCTCTCCGGGTCTCTAAGAATGGATTTATGAAACAAAGACACATGGCCAGATGAGATGGAAATTCTGAAAGTCAAATTCTAGATTGCTTCCAAGATTTCAAAGTTTTAGTGAAAAGACTTTCAATTTACAAACGACACACAAAGAATATTAGAAAATTTAAATTTTTTTTTTAATAAATGTGCTTTGTTCACAAAATGTGAAAAAATACAACAAACACAAACGTACATTTTCAGGTACGCTAACTCCAACCACTTTGCACCTATGGTAACACAGCATGATCTGCTCACGAGCCCCACGAACCCAACCAACCACATGATTATCATCTGGCTTTTACTTATTTATTTACCTATCTATGTATTTATTTAAAATTTTTGAGACAGGGTTTCTCTGTGTAGCCATGGCTGTCCTGGAACTCATTCTGTAGACCGGGCTGACCTCCAACTAAGAGATCAGCCTGATTCTGCCTCCCAAGTGCTGGGATTAAAGGTGTGTGCCACCACTTCGCGCCACAGCCACCACTACCACCTGGCTTGAGTATCATGTTTTTGAAATACCAAGTTTTGGAGAAATTGTGTGAAGTGACAGGATGTCCCTGAATCTACTTATATCCAGAAGACGTAACATTTAGCGTACCCATGCAATACTGGAAGGACCTGTTAACGTCACTGGCCATTACTTGTATAGTCTGACCCCATGCCACATGGCTGCTTCTATGTCAACACTTACATGCTGAACTGGCCTTGTGGAATATGTATTGGTTAAGTTCTAATTTGAGAAAGCCGAGTTTACAGTAACAAATGACATAAGATCAAACAAATTTATACTAAGTGGCAGTAGTTCTCATGAAGAGCTATCTTTAAGTACTACTGAAAACCCATCATGCACACCTCGGAGCAAAAGCACGCTCAGCATCAGTAAACAATCAGAAGAATGGATAGCACCAACGTTTTTTCGCTGTAGCAGAAAAACTACCTCAAAGGTCATACCTAGATCAACCTCCCAAATTTACTTTCAAAGCGATTTCATTTGGTGTATTGTTTTCTTTGCTCTTAAGATTGTAAATAGTAAACAAAACAAACAAGAAAACAGCATGGTAAGAGGAACGTTTGTTTTATCCTGAACACAGTGCCATTTCAATCTTGGTCTTCTTTTCTTTTGTGGGAGTTGTGAAACGTTATCCTGTAGTGCCTAAATGAAAAGAAGTATCAACTCTAATAATTATGCAACTGTACGCTATTGCAAGTAAATGAAAAATTTCAAGTTACTTATGGCAAATTTGAACAACTAATGTTTATTGCATTTAGACAACTGACTTTTCTAAAGTTGTTATAATCATGTTACTTTCATTAATTTAGCATGTGAAACTGAACTTGAAATATTGGATACATACAATGAACAGATATCTTCAAAAGGTAAGTTTATGTAATTCTAAATAAAAATTGACATTCAAAGTTAACTATAACAATTCACAATAAGCACAAAAACATCAGTTTTACCAGAGTAAAGAAGTGCAGTTTATGAAATTTAGGATCAACTATTGAAAATGCAAGTTTCTTTTAAAAATACACATACACACACTCTGACACTCACACACACTCACATAACATTAACCATGAAATCTGAAACTGTGATATTTCAGTGCAAAAACCTCAGTATGAGGTAATTTTAATGTAATAACCACTCGAAAAAAATCCACACAGTGGCACTCTTAAAAATGATAGTTTACATGACACATGACAATTGCTGGCTGACAAGACAATGTGGACTGAATGTTCTTAACGGTTTAAGCTTGTCTTGTTTGGACATATATTCCTATTTAATCATTTGCTTCTGATTCAGAAACGCAGAAAGGCATTTATCAACGTGGAAAGGGAAATTTCCCACAGCCAACTAATTGTTTATATAGTCAAAGAAAATTTTCTGCTAGGGCTTAGAAAAGAATTAGGATACCAAAAGGTCAAGACCATCTTATGAGATTATCAGTAGGAGGTTAATTTCCAAACTGTTAATGTAATTCCAAACTTGTGGTGCAGCACTGCCTTCATGGACAGGTGAGGGCCCTACCAGAGTTGGTCACAGCAAAATATAAACTCTTACAAGTGCAAACCCTTTCACAAAGGTGTCCCAGGTCAGTATTGGATATTATACATTGCTCCTTGCTTAAACACAACATTTTATAAATGAAGTCTAAGTTTTAAAAAATAAAAATGAGCTTTCATGTATAACTATACTGAACACCAAAGCCCAAATCAGTGAAAACGTCATGGAAATACTGCTTTGGCAATGTTGTTTGCTGTACTGTGTTAATGAAATTAGAATACATAGTTTGGGAAGTCTGTCTTCCAATGTCTAATGTCTCCAAATGAGCTTAATATGAAAAGAGTTGTCACCAATTTCAAAAAGTACAGGAATACTGGACAGTTAGATGAAACTGAGTGGAAATGTTTTCTGTGATCGTTAACAATTTAAAGAAAAAGGTAAGTGCACCACAAACAACTAATCCAACCTAGGTGTCAAATGTTTAACTTGTGAATCATCAAAGTGCAATCTACGGCTTTCTACATATCTTAAAGTTCCCATGACAACGGTGTAAAGTCAACACTAAACTGAAAGGGAAAATATTTAGTAAATTAGGCTTCACAACAGCACTAAAGAGAAAAAAGGTACCTTTTTAGTCTTAATGCAAAATGCTAACAGTGGTTTCTGCTAAGACAGAAGTCACTTTGCATAAAACTTTAAGCTTCCTATATAAGAATAAATTTTGAAATCCAGAAGTAGAGAAAAATAGCAAACTCTGTAAACGTTTGCATCTCTTCTATGCAAACCACGCTTTAAATACTGAGTTCATGTTAGTATTCTGATTAGTGTAAGCAATTAGTTTAGGAGTCTGGAATAAAAGGGCATTTTGCGTTTACATTAGCTTAAAAGTAAGATGGGATCCTCTAGCTCATAGAAGGGAATAGAGCTGGTTTGACTTTCTCCAGAATCTGAGTCATAAGGAGCATCAGGGAGCTCTGTGAAACCGTATGCTAGCTGTTCATCTTCTAGATCTGATCGGACATAGCAGGAAGCGTTAGAATACTCCTCATCTTCTACACTGTTGAAATCTTGAGGAATATATAACATCCCTGGATAGTTCCTACTAACCAAGTCACTTGTGGTTTTAAGGGAGGTCTTCCTAAAAGCCATGAGATGCATATGAGAAAATTTTGAATACTTGAAGCGCTTAAAGCCCAGGGATTCTATAGCAATCTTCCAGCTCTTCATCATCATAGCGTGCCGGTTCTGATGGGAGGAATCGGGGGTGATGATGAGCAATAAGCCATTTAGCACTAACAGCTCATGGGCTTTCTTGCAGCATATCCATCGCTGGTAGGGTGATGGAAAATAGGAAAGAAGGAGAGAGAAAACAACCACATGGAAAAGTTCTCCAGGAAGAGAATCAATAGGATTTTTCAGCTGCTTCAGAAAAGCATCTATGGCGTCTTGCGCAAGCTGGAGTGGCTGCTGAAGCTGCAAGTTCAGGAAGTCACACTTATACACACTCTGTAGAAATAAAAACAAAAAAGGCATATTAATGAACTTCACAGCGTGTGGTATGTGTGCCTGTAATCTTGGTTCTCAGGAGCCTGAGCTAAGACTGTATGTTGAAAGCCAGCCTGGGTAACATAGTTAGACCGTGTCTCAGAAAAGAAAAAAAAAAAAAAAAAAAGCAATTTCAAGAATATGTTTACCTTAATACATAAGCTTCACACTACGGGAATCACCATCTCATTGCTTTTCCATAGAAGTCAGCATTAATTACCTTTTCCTTCTAACAACACATATTTTCCTTTCTTTCTTTTTATTCTTTTTATTGTTTGAGAGGGTCTCCTGTGGTTCAGTAGCTTCAAACTTTGAAGTCAAGGCTGACACTGGGCTCCTGAACCTGCCTTCTCTCAAGTGCTGGGATTGCACATCTGTCCCACAATGCCCTGGTCTCAACTAAACTTAGAAGCCTTGAGTAATTAAGTCTCCAAACTTCTAATCATCACTCTATATGTGCAGACAAATACACACAAACTCTCGCACACCCTAGGTCAAGAATAATTTAAAGCATCTACTCAAATATATACTTACTTTGAATTTAATTTGGATAAGAACATATACATTCATTTCTAATGTTTTTCATTTATATTCAGTTTATTATCAATAGTTAACCAAAGTACACGTACACACACACACACACACACACACACACACACACACACACACACACAGCTTTTAAGACGACTGTCAGAGTAATTGAATGTTAGACAGTTTGTAACAGAAGTGTCTACGGGGAATGTGTGCTAACACCTTGCAAACCAACCACCGGAACTCACATCCTGGAGGTCAGGGGTGAGGGAGGTGACTAGCCACCTTAGTGGCTTGATCTGCTGATGGAGTCTGGCAGAAAATAGAGACAGTGAAGCCTAATAAAGGCACTGGATGCTGTCTCTCTGTCTCCATATCCACCTGTCGCTGTGTCTGAGGATAGTCTGCCTTGCCTCAGGCTCAAATTGAATGAGCTGGCTGGCGGCAACTATTGACGTCCTGAGACAAAAATAACATGTACATCCTAAGCCTAATTTTTCCAAGCCAATTGTCACAGTGACAGAAAGGTAACTGACAAACAATGCAGGAAGATTTATAAACTTTGTATATGCAGAATGATGCTAACCCTCTATAAAAGGTCAATAAAATGCTTTTTACTGTATTAACTCCAAACATTTAAAAATGATAATGACACTACTTTTATTCTATTAAAAAGCTAATTTCTGCCTTGAAGCAAATTATACATTAAATTTAATTAATGACATCCGATGACTAAGAAAAACACAACAAAGAAATAAAGATTTTATATTTTGCTGGATACTAAAACTCTATAGAAATACGGAATAGGAAAGCACTGTAAGGTTTCAGGTTATGGGCCCAGGGCAAAAGCTCTTGCCATGAAAGCCTGAAGAGTTTCATCCCTGGAGCTCACATAAGAAGCCAATGCTCAGAACCTAGAATCTCTGCACTCCTAAGGTTAGATGGGAAGCTGAGACCGGAGGATCTTGCATACGGTGTACAACGCCAGACGCCTACGGATCCTAAGCAACACAGCTACACTTTGTAACCTACATGTTTGAAAACCAATGATTTTTCCTAGAGCATACTTCCAAATCCTGGCTCTCTAGATATAAAGAAGGTACAAAACAAAGAAAATAAAATGTTCATAATGGTTAGCCAAATGCTAAAAATTTTCAGAATATATAGTCTTGAATAGAAACAATTTACTAGTTGGTAAAGAAGAAGTCAATGTTTACTATCTTAAGAATGTAGAGAATGCTTTTTCTTTTTAAAGACACATGTAAAAAAATCAAGTCTGTAAATAAAACTACATACCTCTACAGCAGGTACAATATCTATGCCAACAGTCAGAAATTCTTCAAACTTCAAAAATGGATTAAAGCAGCTGCCAACATCAAGTAATCTGATTTTTCCTGAGGCTTGAAGCAACCTAAACACAAATACACATTTTAAAAAGCAAACTGAAAATAACACATGCAAAAATTCCCATATAAGAATAAAGATTATTGTGTAGATTACTAGCTCTTTAAACCTTGTGGTAGGAGGAGGGCTTGAAGGAAAGTTGATGATATATTTATGCATTCCACGTCAAAAGAGAAACACACGGGACTTTTATATGCCACTATATATTCCCTGTTTAAATAAAAACAGTAGTTTTGAAAATGGCTGTTTTTTTATTTCTTGACCTGTCTTGAATGCCTGGCATACACAGTGGATTCCAACAGCTGTTTGAACATTTAAGCTTCTGTAGGGGAGAAAGTAAAAATAAAACAAATAAAAAAACACAAATAGCAACTTCTTATCGTGAAAATAATTTTTTCCTAGCCACGACTCCAAAAGGGTCTTAAACCCACATATTACATTTTGAGAATGAATTCAAAGAAAGGAAGAAATGAACTCAAATTAATTCTCAATAGTCAATACAATTGGGATTTTACTTTAATTTGTCACAATGACTTAAATGAATGAAAGGAAAACAATTAATACAATAGAATTCTTTAAATAAGGAATTTTTTTGTATGCAAGTATTCTTTTTTTCCAAAAACAGCAGAAATCGAGGTAGTAAGTTTATTCATAATTAAATTCAGTCTGGATCTATGCAGTAGACAGTGGCCTTTGTTGTTCCCAAACCTACAGTCTAAATAAAAAAATAATAATAATTAAAATAGTATTACTGTTTCAACTTCCAACCACTTTAACCAATGTTATAATAATTTTCTCTAAAAAATTTATGAGTACACATTGGGAAAATAAAGGAAAGAGACTATTAATAATTGGCTAAGGACAGAATGTTTTTATTTTTAAAGGCTAAAATGTAGACTTGTACAGCTATGTTCTGTGCCATGGCTAGCATTTACTTTATAGGGGTTTTCAGCTATAGATCTGAAAGTGATTCTTTTTTTAAAGAAGAAATGTAATAAGGAGGTTATTATTAATACACTCAGCTAATAGCTTTATTTCATAGAAATACAGTCATCTGTTGCATTACAAGTCATGTATAATGACGTCTCTATGAGCGCACACAACACCAGACAGTACCTAAAATGTGAATCAATTAAAAATTTATCAATAAAATGTAATTTTAAGAACTTATCTAAACAAGGTTATAGGAGTATAGAGGATTAGTAAGTTCTCCAAGTGGATTTTATTTTTTTATCTATAATATAACTTGTTCTAATTGGAAGATCCAGATAAATGTCAGCTTCTCTAACAAATTGCCAGAAACTTTCACAGTGACAAGAACTGTTCTGAAAACCTGAGGCATGACCTTCTGTACCATGGCCAATCTAGGTAAACACTATCATATGTAATCTGGATGCTGTCTATAGCAAATAACCACTTGTAAACTGAATTACATTTGGCAGTCTTTGAAATATGACAATATACTAGTTGAAGGAAGACAGAAGCTAGCAAATTCTTAGGGAAAAAGTTTAAAAAGTGCTCAATCAGAGCAAACATTCTGGCCAATAGCCAGAGAAATGCCTAGCATATACTTGTATAAATTTGAATATCCAGATGATAGGCATTCAGAATACATGAGTATCTATAATACATATGATTATATAATATTGCATATACTACTCTATCACCTTTCTAAACCTTATTTGAGGATGTAGTTAGACTATAGGTTCTGAAATTAGATTAAAAAAAAAAAAACAAACTTCCTCTGTCTCTTACTATGTATTGTGGAGATGGACAAAATGAGACAATCTATTCAATGCTTGATCAATGTCTGGTACACATCTTTTTTTAAAAAAGGCAGGGTCTGGCTATATAGACCAAGAAGACTTAGAACTTGTTCAGCAGCCCAGCTGACCACTACCCTAGGATGGGATGACCTTCAACTCATGATCCTTCTGTCTCATCTCCAAGTGTGGCAATTACAAGTATGTGCTCATATGCTACTATTTTGGACATTCAAAATTACTAAGATCAAGCAATAACAATGCCATTGTACTTTATATAAAAGGAAGGAGCACTGAATTTACTAAGCATGAGTTATTCTATGTTAATATTGAGATAACAAAAATATTTGGAAAATTAGCTCTAAAAATGCATTAACAGGTGAGGAGGTGGATGGATTAAGGAACAATGACCACACATCATCTGTATAACTTCAATACTGTTAGACTACTTTCTATTTTCAGTATTTTTGCTGATTCTTTTGTTGAGTTGTTGGTGATCACAATTTTCAAAATAATAACATTTTACTATACATCAATAAGTTACTCATGAAAGCTGAACACTAATGAAACACTGTTATAAAAATCATTCAAAAAAAATCCCTCTTTCCCAATACTAGAAATAACTGTGGGAAAGCAGTATCAGAATTTCAACTCATTGTTGAAGTATTTGGTAAACACAAGTCTAGGTATCATGCAGGTATGTTTTAAAAATAAGATTAATATTTATATCAGAAGTCTGAATAAAACTGATTCCCCTCTACAGTATGAGCAGGTACCATACAATCAATTGAGAGCTAAGAGAAAAAGATCACGGTTGCCTAAAGAAAAATACATTTTGCCTCCTGACTGAGTCCAGAACTGGTCCTGAATTACAGATTACGAACTTGACAAACCCTATAATCATGAAGGCCAATTTCTTCAAATAATGCTTCTCATTGTGTGCATATATATATACACCACACACACACACACACACACACACACACACACACACACACATGCACACACATGCACATATAAACATGAGTACACATATTTCTTCAAATAATTCATATATATATATATGTCATCTGGATATTCAAGTTTGCACAAGTATATGATATTATAAAGATATAGTCCATTGATCTTTTGAGAAAAACCTTGCCTAATACGCATTCCCCATATATTCTGTACCAGAGGAAAAAGGGAACTCAATCCACAGAGGAATGACAGCGGAAGCCCTACCGTTAGTTTCTTGCAGCATACTGTAAAGTACTGCTTCCTTGTCCCCAAAGTAAGTCTTAGCAAAGACTTAATGAACATAATTTCTTAATGGGAAGCAAAATCATCATGACTACTAGTAATTTTTATGGACACACAGATGTGTTGTTAGCACTAACATGCCTATACTTTTAAAATTGATTGCTTTTCTCTTAAGAGTTGCTCTCTTTTCATACTGCACTATTTTAAAGTTAATGTATCTGATCTTCTGTTTTAAGGTTTATAATGTACTTCACTTGTCACATGCCCAGTGAATAGGATTTGGTTCCAGGAAATGGGAGGGGAAAAAGTATTTAATATTTTTAGTTCAAAAGCAATTACTTAAATTGATGTCCTTTTTATTCTGAGTAGTTAAATGTCTGTTAAAACTTAATCTACTACCTTACATTACTAGGAGGAAGGAGCTAATAATAATATTGGTATCAGAATGTCAATTTTTAAAAAGTACAGTAGTTGTTTGTTTGTTTTTTTTTTTTTTTGAGCAGTTTATTCTCCAACATTTTAATTTTTCAACTCTTTGGAAACACTTGCAATGCTTTTGTAACTCCATCCTATTCCAGTATTAATTTTCTCTGTTTCTAGCTTCAATTCCTCTCCATGTTATAAAGTCAGTTAACTCAATCATGAAACTGAAACATCTTGGAATTGGGGATATATTTTATTTCAAAATCTAAAAGAGAATCCATTTATTGAATTACAGAGTTCCTGTATACATAATGCTAGTCTTTGCTCCGGACAGCAGAATACCATACCACTTCTGTGCTGGTAAGTCTTTACACTCTAATGTAAAGAGAAATGGCTCTGGGTTAGGCACTAAGTTTTTTAATCCTTCCTCACCTTTGCAACTCCTATTAGGTTCTACGAAAATTTGCCATTATATACTAGTCTTCTTGTAATTTGGAGAGAATGGCTAAAATTAGAATACTATGAATTCTTTTAAAAAAACTTCCCAACAATTTCAAAACTGATATTATCTTTGTATGAACTGAACCTATATCTAACCCGTAACAGAACAGAAAATTTTTGGAGACAGGTTTTTCCTCTTGAGTACTTTTAAGGCAACAGACATTAGTTAAAAGTTTTGAGATTAAGGAAGACAATTAATCCTCAAAAACTCAACTCCTTCACACTTACATTTATAGCTTAACAGTTCTGTGCTATGTCCACCATCATCAATGGCTTAAGGAAAAACAAATCTATATTAAGTAACATTTTCTTTTTTTTTTTTTTTTGCTAAAGTCCAAAAATCACTTCTCTAGAGAACTGACAGTAGAATACAGAGCTCTTTAAATTTTTGTGTATTTCCATAAACAGCTTTACCTAAGGGCTCACACTTAAATTTGGTTAAGTTCTTAGGAACATTCTTAAGTTTAAAACATGGCATTTTTCAAAAACAAAACAACTATCTTATTCAGTTATGTCCATGTTTATTCTCCCATATATTTAAAGACAAGCTGGGTATTCATATGCCAGGCATTCTGTAGGGGTCAAAGATACAGTGATAAGATAGTCACTATCCTTCAGTTTACAAAGCAGAAATATACCTTAGGGAAGTGCTATACAAATACACTAATTTCTGAATTATACAAAGAGCCAAACTGAGTGCAGAGGGAATTATAAATAACAAATGCACAGTAATACAGAAGGACTATCATCACCCAAATAATAAAGGATAGTCTTGAAATAAAATGTGTATATATTCTTCAATAAATACATACATATATTCTTCCATATAGTTAATTTCTAAATCCTGAGAAATTGGTCATCATTTTCATAGGAATAAACTGAACATAGAATGTATTTATAAAACTTGGTGCAGGGAAATACTTCACAATTCTGTGAAACACTATGGCTGAAGATGTCTGCTTTGACTTTGGCAAACTCACAATTAGGTCAGGGATCTTCACCAGCTAACTGATGCAGCGGGGAGCAGCCAGGGAGGGAAAGGAATTCTAGCTCTGAATTCTAGACCTCCTAAGCGTTT